GCGTCTGGTTTTTTTGAAACAACAGATTGCAACGCCTATATGTTTTATGGTCCCGGGAAACTCGATCTTGAAGAATTGTGGCATGCGCTGGCGACGATGCGCGCGTGCAGAGTTCGTGATCTTTTCAGAGGAATTGAAAACTTCTGTTGTTTGATGAACGAGTCTGCGCGCATAGTGCCAGTTGACAGCGATGACGGGTGAGGTCGATACCCGGTCCCCATGGCCCCATGGGATGGGAGGTCGATACCGGGTCCCCAGGGCATTGTCGTCATTTTAAAAAGGAGAACCTATGCGAGGCGGCGGCGAGGCGGCGACGGGGCGGCGACAGCGAGCACAGAAGCCACACCGACACACAGGCCCAGACGAGGGGCGGCGACGAGGCGGCGGCGACGGGGCGGCGACGGCGAGCAAAGAGCTGCCAAAACGACACCCAGGCCCAGACGACGGGCGGCGACGAGACGGCGACGGGGCGGCGACGGTGGCTACCGCCAGACCGACCGACAGGCCCAATTCCTTAGAACAGAAGTCAGAACCCCTAAATGCAAACACTGCTTGGGGAACTTCGCCGCTGAAGACGCCTGACAGTTGATGCGTGAGAGTTGGAAGTCTGACCCTGGTGGTTCACTTTGGGGGGAAAGGCATGTTCGGAGGTCGACGTGGACCTCTTACAGCGGAAGCCTATGCCAAGACGCACCCTGCTCGCTCCAGGGCGCCCTGTGTGCCTCTGGTCTCGATGGCTCTGCCATGGAGAGCGTGACGTTCCCACACCAAAGATCAATGGCTGTCCTGGGGTCTCAGGGTTGGGTTTCTTGTGGAGGGTTTCTTGTGAAGCGACTTCATCCCTCTTCTGGTCGTCTTATTGTCCATCCTTCTCTTCTCGCCCCGTTTCTCCTTGTCCCCCGTTTCTCGTGCTGCCTTTCACTTCTCACGACCGGCCGTTTAGGGCCCTTGAGTCCCTTGAGCCGGTCGCCGCGCGCCCCGCGGAAAGAGCGAGCGCCCGGCCTTCCTGGAGAGCCCTGCCGGGCATTCCGTCTCCCTGGAGCTCTCGCGCCTGGATGGTGTTCGTTCGAGACATCCTCATCCTGTGGTCCAGCTCCTGCTGCAGGTCGGCACCGGAGCCGCCCGCGCGCCAGGAGCGGTGCCCCAGAGGCTCCGCCAAGGGGGTGCGGGGAGGGGGATCCAGCGGCGGACCCCCGAGAGAACGCCGCGCGGGCCTCGAGAAATATATATATATATATATATATATATATATATATATATATATGTCCGTGTACTGGTTCCCTGTATGCGTATACCCGTCTTCCCCCCTTTGGCCAGGACACGCCGCCCCAACACGTCCGTAGCCTGTTTGGGCTTTAGGATCCATGCATTCTTCGGGGTCACGGCCACGAGTGTCTCGGTGGCCGCGAGGCCTGCTGCGAGGCCCGCCATCCGCCCTCCTCGCGCTCCTGGCGGCTGCACTGGGAGGGGACGGTCGCTGGCCTGACTCGCGGCAGGCGCGAGGCTGGGTGGCCCAGGCGGATTTCGAGGACCTCGACGGTGGAGACGAGGACCTCTGGGAGGCGCTGGAGGCCGTCGTGCCCGCGCCCGAGGTGGACGGGCCCGTGCCGATCGACCCGTTGGCGGTGGCCCAGGGCGAATGCTACTGCAGCACGGGCAACACAGCAGGCGGCCTTGAGCAGTGCCGGTTCGCGTGGCGGGCGCTGCGGGTCTCCAGCGCAGTGCCGCCGCGGCGCTTCGCGAAGGCCGAGTTCCTTGTCCGCGACGGCGGCTACTGGGACTGGTGGGCCAGCCAGCCTGGGCAGCCGAGCACGGTGACAAAACGCCCGCTCATCCACGTGTGCTCGGGGAACCCGTGCTCAGTCGTGGAGGGGCCGGGGACGTGCACCGAGCTGGTCCACGTGGCGGACGGGGAGGAGCTCGGCCTCACGGACCTGCGGGCGCTGTTCGTCGAGTGCCAGGAGGCGCACCCGGAGGCGGCTTGGCCAGGAGCATGCCTCGGGCCGCTGGTCGCCGCCGCCGCCCCCGCGAGGCCTGCTGCGGTGGCCAGAGCGACGGGTCGCCCGCCAGCCGCAGCAGGTCCTCCCAGGGCCCCGCCTGGCGCTGCCCCCTTCGACGACTTGCGAAGCATAGGTGGCTCGTCGCGCGGCCCTGGCTCAGAGCTGGCCGCAGACGAGGAGGCAGCTGGCGCGGGCGGCCTGGGGGGCAAGCTCGCAGGGGTTCGCGTGCGCCTCGAGGAAGGGAAGCGGGCTGCTGAGGACGTCAGCTTGAGCGGTTTCCCCCTCGGCGCAGAGGCGGCTGGCAAGGAGCCTGAGAAGAAGCGGTCGCTCGGGCACCTGCTGGTCGAGCGCGCCGCGAAGCTCACGAGGGCCGCCTCGGACGCGGGCCCCCGAGGGTCAGGGGGCCCCGCGCCCGAGCGGGCGCCGCCAGGAGCTGGTCTGAGCGGCGGCACGGCGGAGCTGGCGCAGGCGGTCGCGAAGGCCATCCGCGAGGGCAAGGAGGCCCCCCCTGGTGGCAGCGGCGGGGACGGCCTCGGCTCCCTGGACCCCGCGGCGGTGCCGCGCGACCTGGCCACGAGGAGGGCCTTCTGTCGTCGGACGGCCGCCGCCTCCACGGGCCGCCTCACGGAGCTGAGCCTGCAGCAGATGGCGGACTTCCTGGACTCGCAGGAGGGGGGAGGCGGCCGTCGACGCGACGGGCCCGATCGCGCTGCGGTACCTCCTCACGGTCTACCTGCCGCAGCATCCGGTGAAGGAGATCGGCGTGCAGACGTACCGTGTGCTCCGCACCCTTGCGGAGGCGGTGGACCTGCTGATGCAGGGGAAGGTGGCCCACGCCTGCGACCTGATCGTCCAGCGCCTAAGGGCGCTGCAGGTGGCAACGACGGACGGCTCGTGGGCGGCGGCGAGGTGGTTGGTACTGATCCCGCCGCGCAACGATCCCACGGTCATCTGCAGCGAGGAGGAGGAGCTCATCCGCAGCATCCAGCTCGGCGGGATGAGGTTGGACGAGCTCTCCGCGCGCCTGGCCTCCGCCAAGGCGCCGGGATGGGGCGGGGGCCCGACGGGGGCGCGCCCGCCGCTGGCGCCTCCGTTTGTTGGCCAGGGGTCGGCAGCCCCACCGCCGTGGAAGATGTCCTTCGCGGAGATGCGGAAGGAATTCCCGAAGCAGCCAGTGGGGGCGAACACCCTGCACCACCTGCGAGCCTTCAAAGCTCGCGCGGCGGCGCGCCCCCGTCGGACCTGAGCGGCGGCAGCCTGCCGCCTGCCCCGCGCTATGGTGGGGCCTCCTCAGGGAGGGTGGCCGATGCCTCCATCAAAGGCGCGAGCCCTGCGAGGGGTGCTGGTGGGGGAGTCCGCGGCGGAAGCCAAACTCGGTTTACCGAGAGCGGAGATCGTGCCACCCTATGCGAGGGGGGCGAGGGCGTCGCGGAGCCCCCGCTGGCCACCGCGCTGCAGCGCTGGGCCGACGAGCTCTCCCTCGGCTTCGGCAAGAGCCTCGTCGCGGTCGGCCTGGCGGCGCAGCTGGCAGCAGCAGTGCGACGCCACCCAGGCAGCCTTGGCCACTTCGCTCGGTCGTTCAGCACGCGTGCGGACACATTTTGTGGGAGCGGAGGGTCGTCGAACAGGAGGGTTCGGGACGCCCTGCCGCTTCCCCTTCCGTCGACCGAGGAGGTGGGCCGCTGGCTGGCCCACAGCGCCTTGCCCGAGGCACGCAGGTGCCGCCGCCGCGCCGCGGCGCGGGAGGTCAGCGAGCAGGCGTGGCTGCACCTCAGCGCGGCGGCGCTCAACTATGCGTTCTGCGGCCGCTCGCAGGGAGGCTGGCGCCACAGGCTGACCCTGTCGAAGGCGCAGGCGCGGGTCTACGTGCATTTGAAGAGCCGAGCGGCGGCCTTGGCGGAGGACCCGCTCGCTATGGTCGTGGTCCCTGCGATCGACGAGCTGGCGGGCGGCTGCGAGTCAGCGTGCGAGGGCGAGACAGGCGTGAAGGCCCTCCCCTGCCGGCTCTGCGAGCTGGCCCCTGGCCTGCCCACGCGGGAGTGCGCTGCCACGCTCGACGCGACCGACTTCGTTGGCGCTGAGGTCGGCGCCTGGCTGCGCCGCCTCGTGCTGGCGCTCCTCGACCAGTCCGACTGGCCCGACCCGTCGCCGCGGGCCCGCGTGAACGTGGAGACGGAGGCGGACTGGGAGGAGCTGGTGCTGCACCTCGTGTCGCTCAGCATCTTCACCGCGCTCGCGGAGAGCGAGCTGGTCCGCGTGAGGGGCGAGCCCGTGCTGATCGGCCTGTTCGCAATGGAGAAGAAGGGCACCGCAGCGCCTGACGCCACGCGGGTCACCAGGCTCATCCCCGACATGGTGCCAGGCAACTCGCTCCTGAAGGCCCACGTGGGCGAGGCGGCGCTGCTCGCGGCCTCGGCGTCCTGGACGGCGGTCGTGGTCCCCGACGGGAAGCTGCTGCTGTGGTCGGGCGACGACCAGAAGGGGGCCTTCTTCGTGTGGCGGGTCTCGCCCGCGCGTTGCACCCCTACATGGCCGTGGGGCGGCCGCTCGCGGGCGAGCTGTTTTGCCGCTCGGAGCCTTCCAGCGCATTCACCGACGGCTGCGCCGCCTGGCGCCGCCCCTCGGGGCGGGGCTTCCCCTAGACGGGGAGTGGCGCAGGGATTGCGCGCGGCCCCTGGTCGAGGCTGGCAGCGGCCAGGACGCTGGCCGGTGGCAGGGCTACATCGACGACTTCGATGCGCCGGAGATCGTCGAGGAGGTTTTGGCCTGCAAGCTCGTGGGGGCCCCGAGCGACCTCCAGCTGCAGGTCCGCGCCAGCTGCGAGAGGGCGAGCGCCTCCTTCTCGGCCGAGAAGGCGCACTGCAGGCAGCTGAGTGTCAAGCGCATGGGCGCGGACGTCGACGGCGTCGGCGGGCGCCTCGCGGTCCCCGCCTCCAAGGCGCTGGCCACTGCGGGCCTTTGCTTGGCCGCGGTGCCGCGGCGCCTGGTCCCGCGGCGCGTTGCCATGGCGGCCCTCGGCATGCTCGCGAGGGTCCTCGAGTTCAGGCGGCCGCTCTTCGGGGTCCCGCACTCCGTCTGGGCGCTGGCTGCGCCCTCGGCGCAGGAGGCTTACCTGGACGCGGAGATGGTGGAGGATCTCCTCATGGGCGTGATGGTCCTGCCGCTGGCCGCCTCCTCGCTGCGGGCGCGCATCGACGGCGTGGTCACGTCCTCGGACGCGTTGGAAATGGGCGGCGGCGTGTGCACGTCGGCCGGCCTGCGCGAGGATGTCGCCGCCGCCTTGCAGGTGCCGAGGACGGTCCCCGACCAGCTGGGGATAGGGGCCAGGCTCCTCGACATGGCCGAGGATCCCGCCCGACCGCGGGCGGCAGCCAACCCGCGCGTCCCCGCCAGGGCAGTCCGCAGGGTGTTGTCGGTGCTGCTCATCTGCCTGTTCGACGGCATCGGAGGCCTCGCCGTCGCCTTCTCGAGGCTGCCCTTCCGCATCGCGGCCTGCGTCGCGGCCGAGACGGGCGCCAAGGCGAGGCGCGTTGTCAGGCTCCGCTGGCCAGGTGTCATCGGCTGGGGCGACGTCACCCGCGTGGGCAGCGAGACGATGCGGGACCTGTTCGAGGGGTTCGGCGGCCTCGTTGACCCCGTGGCGGTCGCTGCGGGCAGCCCCTGCCATCACCTGTCACGCCTCGACGTCGGCGGGCGCGGCCTCAGCGGTAGGGGGTCCTCGCTGTCCCACGAGGTGCCGCGTGTCCTGGCTCTCCTCGCCGCCGTCTTCAGGGGCAAGCTCGTTTGGTTCGTGGAGAACATGGCCAGCATGTCCAACGTCAATGTGGAGCTGATCTCGGAGGCGCTGCAGGTGAGACCGACGCTGGTGTGCTCGTCGGTGTTCGTGCCGTGCCGCAGGCCGCGCCTGTTCTGGACGAGCTGGGGCGTCACCTCATCGGCGCCTCTTCGGCTGACCGACCGCGGGGTCTACGACGAGCTGGTGGGCCCTGGCGTCCCGCTTATGGGCCTCGCGTGGGAGGACGAGGGCGGCTCTTGGCCAGGGAGACCGAGGTACACCTCCCTAGCCACCCAGGGCTCGAACCCTCAGGACGCCTTCGACGCCAGGGCTTTCCTCCTCGGCAACAGCTTCAGTATTCACGACGTGGCACGGTTGCGCCAGCAACTCCTGCACCGCCGCGGCGCGCTGGACAGGGAGCTGTCGATAGAAGAGACGCCCCCCGTCCGCGAGTGCCAGGTGACGTGGGACCAGGCGGGGGCCTTCGTCACGGAGCCAGGGGAGCCGGACACCGCGGAGGCGAGGCAGCTGGTCCTGCACTACCTCAGCCGCGCGGAGAAGGGCGGGTCGGACGTCAGGCTGGACTACGGCGTCCCCTACCGCCCGCGAGGTTGGCCGAGGACGAGCCTGGGCCCGTTTGTGTGGAAGTGGCGCGTGGCGGTCAGCATGGCGTGGCCCGGGCGGAACTCCACCCACATAAACGTGAGAGAGCTGCAGGCGGCCACGTCGGCGATCAGGTGGCGCGCCCGCAAGGTCGCGCAGCACGGGGGCGAATTCTTGCACCTCGTCGACAGCCAGGTGGTCGCGGCCATCGTGACGAGGGGCCGCAGCAGCAGCAGGAAGCTCCAGCCCATCCTGATGCGCCTGATGGCCGTTGTCGTGGCGGCCGACATGTACCCACTGATCGGCTACGTGGTCTCGGAGGACAACCCCGCGTGGCTCGGAGCCCAGGAGGCGAGGGCGACCCGTGCCGCGCGCGCGGCCGTTCACCGCAGGCCCGTGCCCGTAAGGCGCCGCGGGACGCGCTGCCAGACTCTCCCTTCCCTGACAGTGTCGGCGGAGACGCGGCGGCGCTACGGGCGGGCTCCGCGGGCCCTGCTGGCCCACTTCGGAGCTGAGCAGGCGGGGGCGGACGCTTTGCGCGGCGACCCCGAGGACGCCGACGCCCTCGTCGCGGAGTGCCTCGAGGACCTGTGGGCTTCTGGCGCGGGCAGCGCGGCCGCCAGCAACACGCTGGCAGAGGTGTGCTTCGCAACGCCTCGCCTGAGGCGACACCCTGGCCTGAGCGGGACTCTCCTCAGGGCATGGAGGCAGCATGGGCCAGCGCCCAGGGTGCTGCTGCTCGCGACCCAGGCCGTCGCGGCCATGGCGGGGATCGCTTGCGCTGCAGGCGCTTTCGACGCGGCCGCCCTGACGGTGAGCGACATCGTCGACCGCGACATCGTCGACGAGCTGTTTGTGGTCCGCATCAGCTCGTCCAAGACCACGGCTGGCAAGGACTGCGCGGAGGCAGTCATCGTCCGCGGCAGGATGGCCGTGGTGCTCCTGCGGATGGCAGGCCGCGGCCTTGGTGCAGGTGCGCGGCTCTCCACCGCACGCCTGTGCATCGAGGGCGCGGTGGCCAGCTCAGTGCCCGCCAGCCCGGGGGCAGGGCAGCCCGCGCCGTTGCGCGAGGACTGCGGCTCCTGCAGCTGGCCACTGTAAAAGGCCACCGCTTGCGCCCTACAGTGCTTGCCAAAATTCGGGCGTTTGTCTTCGCTGCGGCGAAGGCAACCGCCCTCCCGCCGTGGGGCCGCCTGGCTCCCTCTCTCTCTCTCTCTCTCTCTCTCTCTCTCTCTCTCTCTCTCTCTCTCTCTCTCGCTGGTCCTGGTTTCCTGGGGCCCCTGGGCCCGCCCGTTGTGTGGGGCGTTCTCTGTTTGGGGTCCACGCCCGTCTCACCTCCTTCGCGCTTCGCGTCACCTCCTCCCGTCGCCTCCCCCCGTCGCCTCCTCCTCGAACGTGCCAACCCTTTCGGGGCCCAGCGGCCGTGAGAAGGGGACCCAGGGGGGGGGATAACACTCTGCGCGGCCTGCCCTTTGGGCGTTGCCGCGCCGCTCTGGCGGCTGCAGAGTGTTGTCCCCCTCCTGGGTACCGTCCTCACGGTCCTTGGACCCCAGAAAAGGCTGCCGTGCCGTGCGGAGGGCAAGGGCTGGAGAAGGGCGTGGAGTGGGGGAGTGCGCGTGGGGGCCAAACCAAGGGGCTGCTGGGGGGGGGTCTGGCACGCCTAGGGCCGCCCTGTGCGGTGCCTGCCCCGCGTCAGGCCTGTGGCCTGGCGCGGGTGGCGTGTCCAGACCTCCCAGGCAGTCCTGTGGTTTGCCCCCCAGCACACCCCCGAGTTAAGGACCGGCATAACTATGCCATTTTCAGGGGGGGTGGGAGTTAAACACGGACGGCCTACGTAGCCTTAAGGCCAGTAGGTGGGGGTGTTAGATAGCGTAGGCCCCCTCCCCAGATTGCTGTATGCGAACGGTGGAGCACCACCTCGCACGCCTTAGGTGGCAAGCGCGCGGTGCGGTAGGCGCCGCGTGCTTGCCGCCTAGGAGATGCGTGGCGTAGGGTACCCTTGCATCCCGATGCGTACAGTAGCTGGGGGGTTTGAGGGGGGTCTAGCCTACTCTGACCATTGGCGTGTCCGCACGCAAAAAGGTGGGGCAGGGTATGTCCGTATACTGGTTCCCTGTATGCGTATACCCGTCTTCCCCCCTTTGGCCAGGACACGCCGCCCCAACACGTCCGTAGCCTGTTTGGGTTCCCGCCCGCGGTCCACCCCTTCCGTGTTGAGGCGCGGTTTCTGCTGGTGCCGTAGCCCAGAAGATAGCGTAGGCACCCTCCCCAGATTGTTGTGTGCGAGCGGTGGAGCACCACCTCGCACGCCTTATGTGGCAAGCGCGCGGTGCGGTAGGCGCCGCGTGCTTGCCGCCTAGGAATGCGTGGCGTAGGGTACCCTTGCATCCCGATGCGTACAGTAGCTGGGGGGTTTGAGGGGGGTCTAGCCTACTCTGACCATTGGCGTGTCCGCACGCAAAAAGGTGGGGCAGGGTATATATATATATATATATATATATATATATATATAATATATATATATACAGGCGGCCGTGTCTGGGCGAGTGCGCCGCGAGCTGCTGCGGCGCCGCCGCTTTCGCAGGCGCTGGCCTTTTAAGGTGGGCCTGTCCTCCCACAGGAGGAAATTATTCAAGGATGGTCAACAAGAGTCGTCGGGGAATGTTTTTTTGTATTTTTCCGCATTTTTGGTGTATGGTTTGACAATTTTCTATTTTTCGTCCACAATCCGCCTGTGGGGGGACACGCCCGACCCAACACTGGCCGCCGATGCTGTGCATGCGGCGGCGGCGGCGGGGTCCGCCGATGCTCTCCTTCACTCATCACTTGTGTTGTCGCCCTGAACCCCTGCAGCCTGGTGGCTTTCTCCTTCGAGTGAATCTCGGAACGTCGGAAGTCGGGGCCGCTGCGGGTGGCTCTCAGGACCCTCTTCCGGGGCCCCAAAGCGTCCCAGTGCCCCGAGGTGGCCCCCGCAGACGCGCAGCGACACGCCGACAACGCCCCAAGATGGCCGCGAGATGGCCAAACAGGTTCTCATCGCGGCCAGAGGAGAAGGAGAAGGAGGAGGAGGAGGAGGAGGAGGAAGAGGAGGAGGAGGAGGAGTCAGGTGAGATGTGGAGCGAGGTGGAGGAAGGCGAGGGGGGGAAAAAGCAGCGCTGTGGAGGAGGAGGAGGGGGAGGATGAGGACCTGTGCCGACTACTGTCCGCTGTGCGTCGGAGGCCTTCGGGGCGCACGGCTCGGGATGAGCGGGTGCAGCTACAGGTCCTTTGACTGCATCGTTTCATGCCCAGCTGGCCCATGGCAACTGGTACTGCCCCATTCGCCGCGCTCCCCACGAGGGTCCCAAGTCAAGTCAAGTCAAGTCCGGTCGAGGGGCCTATGGAGGCACCTCGCTCCGCAAGCGGAGCCGGAGGGCGTGGGACACTACGGCAACAAAACGCGCATGCAAGAGAAACGTAGTGGACAGGGCAGCAATAAATTATACATAGTAGTATGCATCAGTCGCTCTTCATGAAATCTAGAAAATGCTTTTCCATCCGCTGCCAAGGGAAAAGCTCCTGGCTGCGAATCACATTCATTAAATTCGTGCCGTGCTCTTGTCGCAGAAATGAATCGACGGCATCTGTCCATCTTCGACGTGGCCGCCCTCGGCGTCTGATGCCGTCCTGACGACACCGTAGAACTTGCGCCGGCCATTCTCGCGAGCCGCCGGTGGCGAGTCGCGCCACGAGGCGCCACATTGAGCGATCCAACACGACAAGCCAGTTCGACACAGGAAAAATCTTCAGAGCAACGGTCACTTTCTGCTTGGTGCGTCGCCCCGCTTCCTCCCAACTTTCGTGGGAAAGCTTGCCGAGACCAACTATCCGGCGGAGCATTTTTGAGCGCGTCGATACAACTCGCGCCCGCTGCTGTGCTGTCATGGCTGTTGTCGAAAGACCGTAAACAGCCGTGGGCGTAACAATCGCGTCGAAAAGCTTTAAACGAAGGCGCAAAGATATAGATCTGTTCAAAAATACTGCCTTCTGGGAATGGAACTTCCCCCATGCGCACTCCATGCGGTAGTTCACATTGCACTCTGACCTATTGCGCAAGTCGCCCCCGAATTTCTTACCTAAATACTTGTGAAACACCTGGGACGTCATAACCGGCAAATGGCAACCGGCAAGCTGCAGAATGGTGGGCTCTGCAGCATTGGAAACAGCAACGTCGTTAGTACATATTCGCGTTTTGTCTGCATTCAATGACAGGCCGCATGCTGACAATTCTTCCGAAAGGATGTCCAGCATGCGACAAAGGTCTGCTGCAGAACGCGCATATAGTAAAATGTCGTCGGCGTACCGTATATTGCTAAGCAAGCTGACGCCTCCAACGTCGAAGCCGCACTGCCGAGCACGCAGCTTGAACTTCCGAATTGCGTGCTCCAAGCCGGCGTTAAAGAGCAATGAAGACAAAACGTCTCCTTGCTTGACGCCGCGCGTAATGTCGAACGCTTCACTTCCATTGACGCTGCCCCATTGGGCACTGTAGATGTCTGACAAGAGACGCACATATTCTACATGAACTCCCTGCTCCGACAATGCCTGGAAAAGCACGTGGTGTTCCAGCCTGTCGATCGCTTTCGTGAGGTCTATGCTAGCGATCCACAGTGGGAGTTGCCACTCCCAAGCTTTCGTGGACAGATCCTCCAGAACAACAAAAGCGTCGTCCACGGAGCGGCCTGGACGGAATCCTACCTGGTCATGTGTTTGTTCTTTCTCTAGATCAGGCTGCAAGCGTGCAAACAGTAATCGTGCAAATATCTTATATGTGATGCGTAAAATGGCTATGGGGCGCCAGTTTTTTACATCATGTCTGCTCCCCGTTTTCGGCAGCATGACAAAACACGTTTCCTGCCATGTGGGATCGATGCATCCTGTGCTGAGCAACGAATTCAAACACGACAACAGGTGTCTGTGCAGAGCATCGCCTCCACACGCAAACATTTCGAGGGTGATGCCGCGTTTATCTGCGCACTTTCCGCGCTTCATGCGCTTAAAAGCTTGCCGCAACTCCTCCATGCAAAACGGTGGGATATTATACGAGCCTCTGTTGCAATGTGCCTCGGCCCAGTCGTTCCTGGCAGTGCCGCAGTCCGTGGCAAAAATCTGTTCGAGCGAAGCTTTAAAAACATTACAGTCTAATGGACAACGCTTGCTCTGCTGCGAAGGGAACATGTGCACTCGAGGTAGGTGCTTGATACCCTCAAATTTCAACAGCTGTGACGCAGCACGCTCGTCGCAATACTCCCGCATGCGTTTCCGGTGCAGTCGGAAAAGCTGCTTGGACAATTTGGACCGTTCCTCTGGGTCACATGCATCGCGTCGCTGTCGACGCATCTCTCGCAACTCAGGTGCATCCCATGGCTTCGCATGCGAGCGAGTTGCGTTACTTCGAGCTCCAGCCCGCTTGGCTGCGGCGACAACGTGATCCTCCAGCGCAAAGAAAGAGGACGGCCTAGATTCAGAGAGAGATTCCTGCGCAAAGCTCTCATATAACAAATCGCGGCCTTCGGCATTGAGCGAAGGTTTCCATCGAATTGCATCGTGCTGACGGCTCTTCTGGCGCCGAAAACTTGGGCCTAGGTTAAACGTCCCGTGCACCGCACGGTGATCAGATCCCAGATCTACTGCTAGCACACGGCCAAATCGCGAACGCGTGGCTGTGACACCTCCCGCGTGCCGAGCATGTAAGCAGATAGCCACCCCAGCGTATATAGACGAGCCCGCTGCCGCTATGAAGCGGTGACCCCCGTCGAGATCAATATCATCAGACGCTGCACGGGTCTCACTAAAACAAACAACATCCCATGTTAGTTCCGAAAGCTCCCCAAGCAAAAGCCCTAGCCGATCAAGGGTATGTACACGTGCGTTTTTGCCGTAAACGTCAAAATTTGGATTAACATTGAATTCTGGTGAAACGTCTCCTGTTCCCCTCGACCGGTGTTGTCCCTAGCTGCGACCGTCTGCAGCTGCCGGGGCGGGTGGAGGGCGAACCGGATCTCCAGCTCGCTGTTGCTGTCCTGCCTTACCACCGCCTTTGCCCCTTTTACCGCTGCCCT